TAGCACCTGAGTAGCATCTAGCGCGAATGGAATTCTCACCTTCCGCAGTTCTTGCAAAAGAATCGCTGCGCAGCCAGATGAATTAGCAGATAATTCTTTCCCACATTGAAGGCTACTCACGTGCACCGTGTTTCCGGAATTGGTGTTGTGGTCAAGGTACTCTGACAGAGTCTTCTTCTCATCCTCAATTTCCCATTGGCCGTCATCAATGAAGAGGTTCATAGAAAATGCTATTAATATTAGTTGACGCAATTAATCAGTTGTCAAATAAGCTTACGGCCACCCGCACGCTTGCAGTTCGAGCTAGGTGAAGAGGGGTGATGTCAGTCTCTCCACTTTCTCTGCGCAGGATCATAATGTTGCTTGACGCACCAATGGCAAACAACAACTTGCTCCGGCTTCTTCTTCAACACCACCTTGATGGAACCACAGTTGCAGTGACCAATGTAGTTGTCCATACTGACTTAGTTGATTGAGATGTGTGCGTGTAGTTGTTGTGGATTCTTCGACTTCCCTCGATTGTCCTTCTTCGCCGAGTGTTGCTATTATCGATGAGTTTGGGGGACCGCGCACTGGCTTAAATCCGCCAGGCGGTTAAACCTTCCAACATTCCGATGACGAATCAGATTCCTGAGTCAGTTATTACGGAATCAACATGACGAGCATTCGGTTTTAACTCCGGCCTAGTTCAGCGAAACTTGTTTCCACAGACACAAATGGCATGCGGGGGAAGAGGGGAAAGACACATCGTGGCAGGGGGAATGTGGGCATCATCGCGACGTGATTAGTGCGCTGGCATGGTCTGATCTTCTCCACCACGGGCGCTAGAGCGGAACGCGGGCGGAATGGATGCGGGAACTATCGTTAAACATTCCGTAATGCAGTGTTAGGTCTCGGACTCCTTTTTATGTATGTTCCAATGTGCTAACCATCGGCACGAATCTTTCACGTCCAATCACTCCACTTGGTTCCCTCCCAGTAGACGTTCCCTTCGTGTTCAAACTGAGGTCCTTCGGCGTCAACAAGGTGACCCAGTTCACAACGATCAAACTCAACACGCGCCTGCTGGATGTAAAATTCGTCGAATCTCGGCGACAAGGCTTCCTGAAGGCTAGCGACATTACCCTGGGGGTGAAGTGCTCGCCACGGTTGGGAGCACGTTGAACCCTTGCACGACTTGAGAACGAAGAGAAGAGAATCGAGCCTTGGGATGAGCTTCTTGAGAGGGTATCCTAGCACCGTGGCACGGGCTGCAAGGGCAGCTTCATCGTCGTGCAAGAGGTTATGCAGCTGACCAGGATCGGTCTGCGAAGGGTATGGTCAGCCATCTTCAAAAGGACATGGATAGGTGTCGGACTTACAGTCATATCATAGAGCTCGTGTTCATTGGTGCACCATACAGAATAATAGAGATTGTAACTCTCGCCAACAACACGCAAAGCCTTGTAGGTGTTGTTGAAGATCCGCTTGGTGTCATCGCCGTTGAAGCCGAACTTGCTCTCGGTGATAGCCCATCCCCAGTATTCAACGTTAACGTGCTCGCGGGTCAAGGGAGACTCTGCAAGCTCCTTTGTCGACAATGGGATGGGGGCTCCGTCAAAGTCTGCCCGGAGAGGCGCGCCTGCCAGTGACAATATGGTGGGTACGAGATCGACATGAGCTGTAACAGCTTCCGTGACGCCTCCCTTTGGCACTCTGGGACCACGAACAATGAGCGGGATATTGATGTCCGTCTCGTAACCACATTCCTTTCCGGGCTGCAGCCGGTGCTGGCTAATATGGTATCCGTTGTCAGTCGTGTAGAAGATGTAGGTATTGTCCAGCAAGCCGTGCTTTTCGAGCCTGTCGATGAGTCCGTCAACAAGCTCATCAACGGCCTGGAGCGCACGAAGACGACCGCGGTAGTGCTCATCGTTGTATTCCACATTCTCATCACTCAGCTTAGGCTGGCGACGAATCCAGTCAGCACCGGACGGCTTGTCCGGGTTAAAGTTCTCCGTGCGCGGCACCTTGGCATCGGGGAAAAGCTTCTCGTGTCTCTTGGCAGCTTTCGGAATGCTGGTTCTGAATTTGTCGTCAGAAACGGGAACATCGTCGTCCGGTCCCTTTACGGGAAGAAGGACGCTAGAGTTCACGTTGCTGTGTGGGGCGATAGGAGCTACGGCCAGGAAGAAAGGCTTGCCAGCTTCAACAGCATCATCGAGAAAGCCGTATGCCTTCTGAGCAACAAGGTCGGTTGAATATTCGCCCAGATGGTTGACTGGCTTGTCCTTGTTGCGCTGGAATGTGGCATTCCAGTAGTCGTAGGTGTTAGGGTCAAGAAGGAAATCCTACTCCATGTTAGAAACGGGGCGGTATTCACTATTCGCGCTGTACATCGAGCTTTGGAGCGACGTACGGATCCATTCCAACCCTTCAGGTGGGGACTATCGTAGTTCCAAACAGTATGGGCATTGAACATTTTCCCAGTGTAGAAAGTACTGTATCCCGCATCTTGCAGCCAGATCGGCAAATAGTTCTCATTATGACCATTCTTCACGAAAATAGGGAATCCGCCTGTACGGTCCTGTCAATAGCCGTTACCAAACTAACCGGTGTCATTGTGTCGCATGCGCGCCAGCGCCTGGGCTCAACCGGTCGGTGCATGGGGCAGCTCACCGTAGGGAGGGTTGAGATCCGTCACATTGGTGTTGTGAGCCAATTTGCCGGTCCAAAGACTAGCTCGTGATGGGCAGCAGACAGCAGTAGTGCAGAAATGCTTCTTATAAAGAGTTCCCTGCTCAATGAGGCGTTTTTGAATGAGAGGGATGTACTCGAGAGAGTTCATATGAAGGTCTTGGTCATCGGTGAGAACAAAGACGATGTTTGGTCGGGAGGATGATGAAATGGTATCCCTGTCCGGGCCGGCGAGAGGAGTCTGAGCATCGCTAGCCGCAGTTGCGAAGCTGCTCGAGAGCACAAGGGCCGCAGAGGCCAGCGTTGACGACCGTATTTGCATTTCGAAAGGCCAACTCAAAAGAACTGAGCTCTAACCAATTGATCTTCCAGGGCGTTTTGAATTTGATGCAAGAGAAGAGTCAATTTTTGTCTGTACACTTGAAACTTAAGCTGCAATGAGCCTGACTAAGCCCCCGCGACCCGACCCGAGATGCTGTTCGCCGGATGTTATCTACCGCTAATGGCCGGCGAGCGAGTTCCGATGGCGTGCTCCGGCCCCAGTATCGCAACAGCGGAATCCACATACCCCCACCGACCGCGGAGAACCATGGTTCTGCGATGTGGCTGCGAACCTCACTCAAGACTGATCAGTTGTGATGCAATACCAGGACAATCATGTGACGAGTGCGAATGTTGGATCAGCTTTCTTCCCTTCTAACTTTTTCTTCACAGTTTGAATGTTGGATCATATAGTGCAACCAGAACTGATGTCCCTGCAAACTTGATGAAAGCAGGCAGGGCATCGGACTTGACCATTCCCTTTCAATGGACTCAAGGCACTACAACGGAGGCCAGATGTCGAAATCAATCATTGCTTCTACCTCAATTGTTTCAGTGACGTCTAGGGAGAAGCGAAAAGGTATGTTCCAGCATGAACGATCCTCGTGCACTTCATTCGACATAATAGAAAGGTACTTTTAATTCTTCAAGCCGTCTTATCGAGAATGCTTGTGAATGAGCGGTAATGGTATTTGCATGTATCATGCCGACGATTCTGGCGCACGGTACTCTTTATGTGACGGATATCTTGGCCATGAGTACAGGATAACGCTATGAAATCTGAGTTGGGTATAAACTGTGTAAGCAGCGTCTCAAGCAACATGCATCTGCCGTGTTGCTCAGCGGGACTTGAAAACAGGAGAATGTGAAATAACCGTAGAGATGAATATACACATGCACGGAAACAGTGGTAACAGAGATACGACCTCCTCTTTTGCAGTTTACTTTACTAAAACGTCACGTTATCATGATATTCGCGTTGACCTAGCCGTTTTCTAATTGCTGTTGTAAAAAGGTCAACTGACTAACTCCTCAAATCCACGCAGTGTTATCTGAGTGATTCTCATATAACTCGAGCCCTGTTCGCTCATATGCTTTTTCAACGGCATGACACAACGCCATGGTTCAACTCAGTAACATCATCGCTTTCAGAATATTCAAAGCTTGACACGAGGCCAGGGTAGTCCTAGAGCTTGTGGCCTGCAACTCGGTCTTCTACTTGGGTAGCAGGGTGAGCTTCAAGTGCACGGCGGCACGTTGTGTTGCTCACCTTACCCAGCTATGTTTTTCGATTTCTTTTTTTCACTTTACACCAACTTCCATACAGAGATCGTGGCGAAGCTAAATAAAGTGAACCATGTATCGGGGTGCGTTCGACGGCACTAACGTTGGCGAAGTGTGGCACAGCCCGCAAACATGATACTCAGGGACTATACACGACCACGGTTGTGTATGGTTTTCAGACACATGATACTGCTCAATTATTTGTTGAATGGTATGAATTAAGTGGAGGGACGGTTGTCATTTGAATGTGGTTTGAGATGTCCATAGAGATTTCGAATTGGGAGACATGCCTGATGTACAGAGCGATGTGTTCTTCTTTTTCGGGTGAATGCTTTCTGATGGTCGAGCAACGCACTAGGCCTTTCCCGTTGAGGTGAAATTAGAACAGGGTTTAGTGTGGAGAGCTTGTGTCTAATCACCTTCCAACAATCTCTTGCCACGGGTTTAAGAACCAACACTACACGCCGAGAACATCTCCTGCTGCCCACAAATGTCGGTTGCATCCTGCAAAGATGCCTGGCACTCGCTGTTGGATCTTCTCGCAAGTTACTTGGCCCGTTCCGGAGGCTTGGCCCGGGACAGGCATCAAGCACTGTTTGCCCCCCCTGCTTTCTGCGTGAGGGGTTGTCGAGCACAACTACATATTCTTTCGATTCCTTTAATCACAAAACAACACGTCCATCAGTAACACGCAAGAAGTTTCCACGCGCAGACCAAGTATGGCCACCTCTTCCGCGGTGGCGTCCGTCCAATTTAGTAGCGACAGCGACTCATTGCGTCAATTCGACGAAGACTTCTCCGACCCTCGGCGCCGCGCGCAAGTCAGGGTTCTACATTACAAGATTCTTCTGCCGCCCATAAGCGAGAAGCGTATCAAGAAGTTTCAGAGCCGGAAAGAGGCCGCTGCAAACAGTGTCGCAATCACACAGGCACTTCTCGATCTATTCACGAGACTGCACGTTTGGGATTCCGCATCCACAGCTAGCGAGGAGAGCGGTATTAAGCTCGTGGCCAAGATTGAGTCGTCCTACCAACCGCCCTCATACGATGACTATACTCACGACGGGGCACCTATTTGGTATCTTCGCAACGATCTAAAGTATCTTGGTCTAGTCGAGAGCTTGTTGCTGTGTTTGGGACTGCTACTAGAGGTCAGCGCTATCTCTCATATTCACATGAAAACTGGGTAATCTTTCTTCCCTTCTAACTTTTCTTCTTTATAGTTTGCTGCCTAGAGGTGCACCTTATTAACTGCTATATGACTTTGATAGGGAAATATATAGAGGGTTATAGTATAACTTCTATAGCTAACCTATAAGGTATATAAAGGGGATTTTTAAACTATTTAGCTAAGTTAATAGAAGTAGCCCCTTATTATACTATAATCTAAATTTAAAACTTTCTAAAATAAATCTTATATATACTTCCTATTTAATTAATATAGCTTTTACTATTAATAATATTAAATATCTAAAAAAGACTAATTTATTTATAAGGGATTAGACACCTAGCTAGAGGGCCTAGGGATAGCTTAGCTAGTAGAGGCTAAATAGATAGGAAGGTCTATAGGTCTAAGGTATAGAACCCTCTATAGCGAGGACTTAGTAAGTACTTACTAAAGACTAAAAAAGAAGGAACTTAGAAGAAGTAAATAAAAATAATATAGTAATACTATACCTACTTTTTAAATACTTCTTCTATTAGTTTAACTTAATTATAGTTTATAATCCCTAAATACTTTTATAATTCTTTTATTTCTACTTTATTTTAGGAAAGTTAGTAATAATAATAGTATTATATACCTAAATAATACCTACTAATTAGATTAAAGAAGTTATACTTAGTATTTACTAAGTACTAAGTAAAATAGCTTATATAAACCTATATAGGGAAGATAACCTTAGTAAATAATTAGAGGATAATATAAGTTAATAAGGGGAAATAAGAAATTATACTTTAAGTAAAGTTAGGAGCTCTAAAAAGGATAAACTATTTATACTAAATACTTACTAACTAGGTAGTAAGTATATATAGGAGAATAGGGAATATAAGATCTCTCCTTATAGATTAAATAGGTTATAAGACTAGATATCTATAGCTATAACTAATAAGCTAGTTTAAGCTAGAGGGTTAAATAAAGTAACTAGCTAAATACTAATATAATAGATTATAACTATAATAGCTAACTAGAATAAACTAATTACTATTATATTAAGTAACTAAGCGCCTACTAAATAATTACTTAAAGTTTATAAGAAACCTTTAAACTATAATATAGCTTATTTTATTAATAAATCTACTAATATAAAAAGGGAAAATTAATTTATTATAGTAGAGAAGGCTTATAGGTACTACCTTAGCTACTCTAATAGCTAGTATATCTAATAAACTTTAAATATAATAGAGTATACTTTATAAATAGAATAATAAACTTATTAATAAACGCTTATAGATATATTAGGGAAATAAGTTAATTTTATATAGGATAACTTTAGGATCTTTATAAGAAAGTAGTATATAGTATTTAAACTTTAAGAATAGAACTATTATAATACTTTAAGATAGTATTATTAGAAAGATAATAAGAAACCTATTATATATTAAGCTTATTAGGAGTTTATTAACTAAGCTTTTAGTAAACTAAATATAAGTAATATAAAGACTTATATATTCTTTTAAAGCTTTACTAAAACCTTAAAAAATAAACTTTTTAAATAAGATATTAATTATACTAATATATATATAATTACCCTATATATATAGAGACTATAAGAGATTATAGAAGGGAGGTATATAAGAAAGTTTACTAGCTACTCTAAGTTATATAAATAATTATACTTAAGTTCCTTAGATTACCTTTATAAGAGTAGTTTATAACCCCCTTAATTAGTAGATTTAAAGGAGTACTATTTAGAGACTTTATCTTAAAATAACTATCTAGTAAACTTCTATATAATACTTAGCTCTAATAGTAAGTTACCTAACTTCTAAGGAACTTAATATTATAATTATAAGAGATATAGGTATATTTCCTCTAATTATACTAAACCTTATATATAGCTTATAAGTAGTAACTAAAACCTAAACTTAAAAAAGAGTAGGATTAATACTATTATAGTTTCTTATATAATTAATACTAAAGATTTAGAAAATAAATAAGTATAGAGGTAACCTTAAGAGGTATTATACTAGAAATCACCTTAGTCCTTATAGACTAGACTATTAAGGGTTAGGTAATTATACTTTAAGTATATAATAAGCTTAAGTTAATAGTTAATATAGATACTTATACTATAGTTAACTTTATATAAGAAGACCTTATTAAGAAACTCTTATTAAAAGAAGCTATTAATATTATAGCTCTAAAACTAATAGACTTCTAAAAGAGACTTATATTTACTAATAAGGTTTATTAGTTTATATTCTTTTTAATTAATAGCTAAGGCTACTTATAAAAGATTTACTAAGTATTTATAGCTAGCTTATACCCTAAAGGGGTAAGAGATATCTTTTTATCTAATAATTTAATAAGTAGAGAAGGTATTTATATAAATACCTATATTTATACTTAGTTATATAACTATATCTTACTTATTAAACTAGAAGTAATAGTATAAAAAATTATTAAGAATAGCTAGAAAACTTATATAATATACTTAATAGAAGTTTTAGCTTTAGATAAAAAAGATATTAATACTTTAAGTAAATACTTATTAGAGAATAAGTATAAAAAAAAGATCTTTAAAGAACTTTAAATCTTTATAGATATTTTTAATAAAGAGAATATAAAGAAAGTCTTTAAACTAAAAGGAATAATATATTATATTAAGTTTAAACTTAATAAGAAGTTACTATATAAATTAATATACCTTATATTAGTAAAGTAACTATAAACCCTTACTAAGTATATTTAGGAAATAGAGGTAGTTAGATATATCTACTATTTAACTAACTCTATAAGAGTATTAGTTTTATTTATACCTAAGAAAAATAGTAATCTATAACTATATATAGATTATAGAGGATTAAATAAAATTATAATAAAGAACTAATACCTTTTACTACTAATTAGTAAATTTCTAGATAAGCTTATTAATATAAAGTTTATTTTAAAAATTAATTTAAATAAAGCTTATTATAAAATTATAATTAATAAAGTAAATAGATAGAAGACTATATTTAAAACTTAATATAGGTATTTTAAGTATATAATAATATTATNTTTAGGCTTATTAATACTTTAGTAATATTTTAGGTATATATTTACTAAATACTTATTAATTTTTTAGATATTTACTATATTATATACTTAGATAATATTTTAATTTACTTAGATACTAAAGATTAATATATAAAAAACTTATACTTAGTTTTATATTACTTAAGGGCTATTAAGTTCTTTATAAAATTAAAAAAGTATAACTTCTACTAGATAAAAATTAATTTCTTTAAGTTTTATATTACTTAAGATAGTATTAAGATAAACTTAAATTAAGTCTAAGTAGTTACTAAATAGCTAATATTAAAATCTTTCTAAGATATTTAAATTTTCTTTAACTTCTATAATTTCTACTATAAATTTATTATAAGATATTTCTATATTATAGCCTCTATAAATAGTATATTTAAGGGAAACTAAAATAGTATAAAGTTAGAAGTTTTTATCTAAATAGGGGAAATATAAGTTATATTTAAGATACTTTAGAGAGTATTTACTAAAGTTTTAATATTAAAATATTATAACTTAATACTAAAGATTAAGGTTAAGACTAATATATTTACTTAGGTAGTATTTAATATATTTTTATAGAAGTATAGTATTATTTAGTACTTAGTAACTTTCTAATTAAGGAAGTTTTTAGATATAGAAAAATATTAAGCTATAAAGTAATAAGAACTTCTTATAATTATAAAAAGCTTAGATTATTAAATATAATACTTATAAAGGCTTCCTGAGAAATTTCTAATACTTACTAATTATATAGTATTAAAAGGAGTACTTATTATACTTATATAAGATATTTATAGAAAGCTTATTTAATAGGTTTACTACTTATCTATATTTAATTTTAAAATTTAATATTAGTTAGAAGTTACTAACCTAATAAATAGACTATTATAACACTTTAACTATATAGTAGAGAACTCTAAAGTAAATAATATACTTCCTACTTTTAGAAAAAAGCTTAAACTTATTAGCTAACTTTTAGTAATAAATTACTAATATATTACTAAGCTTAAAAGGATTATAACTATTATAAAAACTTATATTTAAACTATCTAGTAAAATATATAAGAACTTTACTTAAAAGCTAGTTTTAAAATTAAGGGATCTTTACCTTTAAGTTAGTATTATTTTATAAAAGGTATTAATAAGTTACTATATTAGAGTATATATATTAGTACTATTACCTACTTAAAATTATATATAAATACTATACTAACTACTCTATAAGAGAATAGTAATATATTAGAGGACTTAAAGGGAGTTAGGGTTACTATATTAGAGTAGTATATCCTATATATTATAATAAAGGAGCTTATTTAGGATAAAATAGTATATATACTATAACTAAGTATAAATCTTAAATAGATAGTTAGAGAATTATAAACTAAAAACTACTTCTATAGAGAACTTATAGTTAAGATTTACTAAAATACTAGGGAATACTAAAAGTATTAACTTAATAAGAATAATATCTTTTAGTTTAAGAGAAAATTAGTTATCTTAGAAGAGGGATCTCTTTATTATAAAATCTTAAAAAACTACTATAATATATTTAAATTAAGGTATATAGAGGTAAATAAAATAATAGAACTAATTCTATAAAAGCTTTACTAGCTATACTTAATAGAGGATATATAGTAATATATTACTAAGTACTTATACTACTAAAAGGTATATATACTATAATATAAGCTATATAAGCTACTATAAATATTAAAACTACTAATATACTTATTCTAATAGATTTCTTTAAATTTCCTAACTAACTTATTAGAGAGTTACTAAGATAATAGAATTATATATAATATAATTCTAATAGTTATATATTAAATAACTAAGGTAACTTAATTTTTAGTAATAATTAAGTGACTAAATATTATAAGCTTAGTAAAGATCTTATATTAAGAGATTAAATATTAATATAATATATCTAAAACTATTATTAGTAACTAAGATAAATTAATTACTAACTAATTCTAATAAGACTAAACTAAAGTTTAAGATATAAAAAGGTATATCTCTACTATATAATATCTATAAATAGATAGCTAAATTAAGAGAATATATTAAACCCTAACTATATACCTCTTAAAGTTTAGTAAAAGCTTATATAACTAATAAGTAATATAACTAATTAAAACTAAATTCTTATATAATAATAGTAAATATACTATTATTAGTATATTACTATTTAAGGCTTTTATAAGTTACTACTCTTAAATAATTAATTACTACTTACTAAATATTAAAATTAAAACCTAAGAGGTTACTAAAAAACTTAAGAAGTTAATAGAGGTTTACTAAAAAATAACTAAAAACTAGTAATATATAATAGAAGTATAAGCTAAAAATATAAATACTAAAAAGAAAGTATAAATATATAAAGTTAGAGATATTATAAGACTTTTAATAAAGAACTTCTACTTCATAAAAGGTTAGTAAAAACTTACCTTATAGTTTATCCCTATACTAATTATAGAAGTTATAAGCCCTAACACCTATAAAATATAGCTCTTAGAAAAATATAGTAAGGTATATAATATTTTCTTAATAACCCTATTAGAGCTATAATATAACTAAAAACTTACTAAAAAATAGCTTCTAGACCTAAAAGAAAACCTTAAAGAATAAGAAATTAAAGATATTATATTATAAAAGGATATATTAGTAAGCCCCCTATATCTAGTTAAATAAAAAGGCTAGCTAGTAGAGTATAACACCTAAAAACCTAAAGAATACTTAGTAAATACTATTTAAATCCTTACTAGATTTAAGAAGTAGTAGTATGAATTATATTATAAATAGAATAATAAATAATATAGTATAATAAGAAAAAGTTAATTAACTATAGAATAGCTTAAAATACTAAAGAAACCCCCTAAACCTTTTAGTAAAAATAACTAAAAATAATAAATATCTAACTTTATACTCCTATAGAAAACTTACTATATACTCACTAAACTTTAATTAATACTATTACTACTTATTACTATTATTATTACTATTACTACTATTATTATTACTATTATTATTACTATTACTACTATTATTATTACTATTATTATTACTATTATTACTATCTTCCTCACTACCCTTATTATTACTCTTACTCTCTAAGCTCTCACTAGTAATACTACTATTACTACCTTAACTCTTACTTCTAAAGGTATTATTAAAGTTATTATTACTATTTTTAGAAGATATATCTATATCCTTATTATTAACTTAATATTAATAAGCTATTACTAAATCCTTATTAACTTACTTATAAGTATTAAACTAAAATGTAAAACTACTACTAATAACCTTATAAATAGATATAGGAGTATAGTAATAAGTATTATAAAGTATATAATAACTTTAAACCTTTAAGAGATCCTATATAAGAAGCTTAGATATATAATTATTACTTTTTAAAAGATATATTATTAAGACTTCACTAAAGTAGTTAAGGAATTTAGCCTAGTTAAAGATATAAATCTTATTATATAAATAGACTAGAAGAATATTATTAATCTATAGTATAATCTCTTTAACTAATACTTTATTTTTAACTTAATAAACTACTTATAAATAATATATTAAATAAATAAAAAGAAAAGACTAACTATAAAGTAAAACTTATATTAAGTATAACCTATAGGTATACTTAGGTATATAAAGTAGTAGTCTCCTCTATATTTATAGTAAATAGCTAGTTATTATAGTTTTTAAAACTAAGCTTAAAGCTAGTAAGGTTTACTAACTACTTATAAAGATATTAGAGAAGTTTAATACTTTACTCTATAGCTATAAAGATATAAAAGATCTTATACTAATAGTACTACTTAGTAGTAATAATATAAGTATAATACTTAATTTAGTTCTAATAGAAATAAATAGTATTAATAAAATAGACTAAGATCTAAAAGAGAAAAGAGTTAATTTATACCTTCTCTAAATAATTACTAAACTTATTTTATAGTACTTAATACTATAAAGATAGTATAACTTATATATATAGTTACTATCCTTTTAGTAAGTATAAATAATCTAAGTATTCTTAGGGAACTATAGTATATAATTAATATAAAACTTACTACTACCTACTTAATTATATTAATAGTTACTATTACTAAGCTCCTCTTTATTAAAGCTATACTCTTTAAGAAATTAGTAAATTAAACTCTTAGTACTTATAATATTAATTATAAAAGTATTATAAAATAAAAGAAGGTTTAGTAAATATATTATAAAGACTTAAAGAAGGACTTATAAAAATATAAAAATTATTATAGATAGATATAATATATTAAGGAAGAAAAGAAATTAACTTTAAGGGTAGAAAAAAGCTATTACTTTATAGATAGCTAAGAGGCTTTATTAAATAATTATAGAAGTAACTATAACTTTAAATAATAAAAGATAGTAGTTATTTACTATAATAAGTATTATATATAAAGAAGTAAGAGTAGTAAATTAATAATAGTAAGTACTATTTAACCTATTTAATAATTTTATAATAAACCTATTAAGAAGGGGGATAATAGGATAAAAAATAAAGTTATTATAAGGATATTATATAAGAAAAGGCTTACTAAATAAAAAATAAAATACTAAGGATAAAACTTATAACTTAAAGATAGCTACCTTTCTTTAAAAAAATAATAAGATCTTTTTAGAGTATCTCTAAATAAGAAGTATAAAAAGGGCTTAAAAAAAGAAAAACCTTAATAGATAGAACTATAGTTTAGTTACTATAACTATAGTCCTAAAAGTTCTATTATCTTTTAGTAAATATATAGTAAGTAAGTACTTTATTAGATAATAAAGATAATAGTACTAAGTCTAATAAATATTACTTAGATAAAAAGAAGGACTTTAGTAAGAAACTAGCTATAGTATTTAGATATATAGTAAAGATTACTATATTTAGAAAGGGGATAATTATAAAGGACTAAATACTTAGTTAGAGGGTTTAAGGATAGCTTAGCTAGTAGAGGCTAAATAAATAGGAAGGTCTATAAGTCTAAGGTATAGAACTCTCTATAACGAGGACTTAGTAAGTACTTACTAAAGATTAAAAAAGAAGGAACTTAGAAGAAATAAGTAAAAGTAGTATAGTAATATTATACCTACCTTTTAGGTACTTCTTCTATTAGTTTAACCTAACTATAGCCTATAGCCTCTAAATACCTTTATATTATTATATATTTAATAATAGTTTAGTTATATCTTTATAGCTAAGAATAATAATATAGTATCTTTATACCTCTTTATAATATATATTAAATTCTTAGAAAACCTTTAGAACTAAGTTCTCTATTAAATTAAATAGAGATTTAAAAAGATTACTAAGAATTTAAAGAATAAGAATAATATAAGGGAGATTAATAGGATATTTAATAAGAAATATAGTGAATAGTTTTAAAAACTAATTACTATTATTACCCTTATCTAAGGATATAGTAGTTAAAGAGATTAGTTTAGGTTAGGGTAGAGGAAAAAAAGGGTCCTTATATTCCCTTTAGTTATATAAGTATTCATAAAAGAATTATTCATAAAATGGAAAACTGGGCAATATCGCCTGCACCCCAGTTTATTGGCGGTCCTAACTAAATCTTTGCCCGCTCTACGCCGACTTACTTTCAAACTTATGATGCCAACTCGTCGGTATATGTTCCAGCGGAGAGAAATCCGATGCGCCCTCGCCGATGCAATGCGGGATGCGTCTCTCGATAATCTCGAGGTTCTCGAAATCCGACTTTACGACGGTGCGCCAGATGACGAAAGATTCGGCCTCGACGTGCTCACAAACTCTGAAGGACAAGACGGTTTGAGCATGGCCATTCGGGATATGCTCAAACTCCCAAAACTACGAGAAGCGTCGTTTCTTGGCGGCTGGATCCTTGCACCATCGGCCTTGCAGACGGATACCTCTTTCGGGCCGCGTCTGGAATATCTGTCCTTTGAAATCATCCCCGTCACCCCGGATGGAAAGTGGCTAGTTACGGGCAACATCGAGGACGCGTGAGAAAATAACGATAGACCATCAACCGAGGAGACCCTGGCAGCTCTCGACTCACAAGACTCCGACGCAACAGATTATATCCCAGACCACTCGTGGTTCAGGGAGGATGGAAACTACCCACAATGTTTTTTTCGCTACACCTTCGATAGCCGGACATTTGATCCACTGCTTGTTTCCCTGGCCCAGGGCGTACGCAGTATGCCTGTGCTGCGCGAGCTGAAACTAGTCATGTACCAAGGTGTTCATCTTGAAATGGGGTATTTTGCCGGCGATGTCAGAAATGAGGAGGCTTACCGCCGATACTACGCTGAGACCTCACCAAGTCGCAAGTTTGAAGTGGAAAACATCCATCGCCCGCGGTGGGTTATGATATTGGTTGGAGAGGGGTTTGAGTTTGACGGGGTCTGGTCATTTTCACCCAGTATAGTCACAGCCATGGACGAAGGTGGTGGACGGATCTTGTTCAATGGCGGTGATGAAGTGTTGGTTTCCTCTGGCGACGGTGCAACGTTCACTTGGGTCGCATGAAGCAGTCGTAGCTCACATAGTAACGTAACAGGTTTAACCCCGACTTTTGTGAAGTGTTGTGGGGATATGAGAATGTCGATACTTGAACCAGAAAGGCTAAGGGCCACAGAGTACGTGGAGCTACTGAAGCAGGTACAAGTACTTATCAAAGCCTACCCAATCCTTGGCTCAGAAGTTGCGTTGATCATGATCTGAGCGACCAGACACTGCACTACTACGAGCCAGAACTGCCCCCATGAATGGTAATTGCCTCCTTTGATTCCTCTCAATTGGAACCAGGTCGTCCATGCAATCGAGGCGCCTCTTTCCAACCGTCTGTTTTCATTTGCTGCTGGCGTAGACCGGTCATGCTTTAGCTTTCCTGATCAATATCAAGACGACGCCACGTTGACCCGTACACAGCCCTTTCCGGTCGGTCCCTTTACGGTCGGGGGATGCATGCAAAGGGCTTGCAAGCGCCAGCCCGTCTATGCTCGTGAGGGTGGTGTTTCATGACAGCCGCCTTCCTGACATCCTATTCCACTGTGCTTGCTTTGAAGCTGGAAAGGCGGACAGTTGCTGCTTGATGAAGCTGGAATCAATACGGTATGATAGGTGATAGCGACGATGCATCTACTGACTGCTGTGGTTAGTTTTGACAAGTGGCCGGAGGATGCAAACAAATGCTCACATGATGACGTCTGCATGAATAGCCTTGACTCTTTGTGTCTTGAACCAGACTCGGAATCAGTCCCCCTCCGTCTTCGTCTTCTCGGCAGCTGTAATCCCCCCAACAGCCCCTGCTATGATTCCGCCGACAATGAGAATTGACATGGCAAGAACGAAGATCCAATATCTTCGCCACCATGTCCGCCAGTTCCGCCGCGGTTTCATCTCTGTTGAAATAGGAATAGCCACATTTATTGTAGAAGGCCGGTTCTCGGAATGGTTCGGTTTCACCTCGAGCATCGAGTGTTGCTGTCTGTTCCCGCTCTCGAGTGACGAGTAGTCCACATCGTCAGGTCGGTTTCTCGATGGCATTTTGAGTAGAGTCGATGATGGACGATGATTCCTGGAACAAAAAACGACGTCTTGGCGGTTTGATTCATCGGTCTGGCAGCACGACAACGGTGTATGACGGAGACAAGTTCGAGATTAAGAGCACAGGGTGCCACGTGTGGGCGAGGGAGAGATATTTGAATGCACGCGTGGCGTCTGGCCGCCCCGTTGCACAACACGTGCGCTACTGCGTGTCTACCCTGTCAGTTCGTGTGTCCCCGAGACAGTTTCAAAGATTCCAACCACAAGTCAAGGGATGTGAGAGACATCGTCCCACTCGAAAGGTGCCCAAGTCAGGCTGTCGGGGCTTCATTGGCGGTGGCAGTGTTGATGATTGCACGGACTACGAAAAAGAAATGCAGGCCGGGTGTGATTCGCTGTGTTGCGTCAATCATTGAGACTAGCGCGTGGTGGTCTTGGAGCAGTGCCTTGGTTCCGGGGAGCCGGGCTGGCGGGTATCATAGCATCTAGCTATCTTTCTTTTTGAGCCGGGTTTTCCGGATGTTGTCCATAGATTTGAGGAATGTGGACGAGTCTCTCCCTCCGACAATCTGAGAGTTGTCAGTGCTGCGGTACGGTTCACGACAGGCAAACAGTCTTAATTCGGGTTTTCCGAGCCAGCTCTCGTGAAGCACCCCTGTCTTCAGCTCATGCAACTACCAGTTCATGTCTTAGTTACAAGCCACTGATTCTGCTCCCACGCGTGGTTCTCGCTCAGCGTTCCCTGTAAAAGCAAACATGAGCAGCTTTCGTGCGCCAAAGTTGTATTACACTGGAACAACTCTATGACCCCTTTTCGAATTCTGTGGAGATGCCCACGGTGAACATTCCTCAGGAGAAGCATCTTATCATAGTGGCGTATGAAGGCTGTCACAATTACTCGAAACTTCATTCCCAATATGTGCGTATTTATCGACGACACGTTACAGGTCAGAAAACAGCTCATGTGTGATATTGGGAAGTGGCTGCTCGGCCATTGTACAGGCGTCAGGACTTGGCATCTTTCATGCCTAGCAGCCTTGTTGGTGCCTATGGCACTAGCCATGACATCTAAATATTGAGACACGACCCTCACAGCCTCGGATCTTCTTTTGATAGCACGGTAGAAACCTATGTTACTAGCCTCTTCCATCGCAGCAGTGACAAGTGCCCGATTCCCCCGATTCTTCATACTGTTCCACGAATTGTCTTGTCTTCATCATCTCAGAATCCAAGTCCATGACAGATTGAAAACATGCCATGCGGTCTACTTAAAGAGACTATTCAATAGTGGTCATAACGCAACGGCTCTCATTTTATATCGACCCAACAGGTTTTTCCCTGAGCTTTCGAGGCTCCGTAGAGACTCTTGCCCTTGTCGATCCTATCGTGACTCCGCAGACGGTCTTGGCGAGCGACTAAGCAGCTCCCAATTATTATCCAACAAAAACCAAAGACAGAGCGAACAGTGACAAACGCTCATGCATAATATAGCGGTCTTCTTCTTTTTGACTCATATCCAAAGATGTAATATCAGCGTCACAAGCGGCTTACAATGTCTTCTGACAGCGGACGCGATCCGACATCGCCAATGCAGCAACCTGAGTGACTGATAACGTCCTCCTGGCTGTGTCTCATCGCATTGTCGCCGACAACCCGACAAAAATTCCCTCATGCGGGCAGTAGCCAGCTATCCCGCAGCACTGAAGGAACGGTTCACAGATGTCGCAGTCTGGGCCCTCAGTCACGCAATCGCCTGCGGCAGGGCTTATTTGGACCCAAATCCAACGCCGCTCCAGTTTTCCTGATCCCCGATTTTCCCCGCCACCCGGGGCCTCGCCCGCAACCCACCGGCGCGGAACCCTGGCGCCGGATATGATTGGAGGTCGAACCCACCGACGGACGGGAATTGACCTGAAATCGCAGAGAACGGAAAGCTTGGTGGGGTTTGCCCAGACTTTGGCGTCCTTGGAAAACAAGTAGAATGGGACGTGGGCGCGGGATGGTGCTGCAAATCTTTAGATCGCGACATTGTAATATCGCTTCATGCAGAAGGGTTTTCTTTCGGTCGCCAGCTTACATGAATCGCATGCTGTTACGTTTGCTAATACAACGCAACCTTGCTGGACGCGTATATAACCTTAAAGTCCTCAGCCCACCCAGGCCCTTACTCTTTGTGATGTTATCGCGACCATCTCTCCCGTCGATCCTCCCCCGCTTTCTTAGCTCCGCACGCTTCGTTGACAATTTATCGTCACGAATAGGCAAAGGCGGCCACCATGGGCGAGTTAAGAACGGTGACAACGGCCCAGCCGTCAACGGATAATCCCATCAACTATGGACCGCCCGAAGAGGGTATCTTCAAGCACATTTCCAAGGTTATACCGTACTTCCGGAACGCGCGCAATGTGCTCGTCTTCAAGTTGGATGTGATGCTGCTGGCATGGATGTTCCTTGCAGGCATCATGAAGGAGATGGACCAGTCAGCGACGACGCAGGCATACGTTTCGGGCATGAGAGAGTCTCTGAGCCTCTATGGAAACGAACTGGTCGAATTCAACACGTATTTCTCCATCGGATACGCCCTAGGCCTCGTGCCTGGCCAATTGATTCAGACGAGGGTATGCAACCGGCGTCAGGCTATCTTCAATCGGGGCTTTTCTAACATCAAGACAGTTCCGACCGTCCATGTTTCTCCCATTCTGTGAGATGAGTTGGGGACTGCTGGTGCTCTTGTAAGTACTCTCTGCGACTCTTTACCCGTGAGCCCAAACTCACAAATGGCATGCAGCACATATAAGGCACCCAACGCTCAAACCATTTTCGGTCTTCGCTTCTTCCTCGGCCTGTTCTCCTCTGCCTTCTGGCCCAGTGTCGTTGCTCTCATCTTCAACTGGTATACCCCCGCCGAGCTCGCCGTTCGCGTGGCCTGTTTCACAGTCTGCGACGTCGCCGGCGCTATGTTCCTCGGTGCACTCCAAGCCGCGTTGTACCGCGACATGAATGGCGTCCACGGTCTCGCCGGCTGGCAGTGGCTTTTCATCATCTCCGGCGCCGTCACGGTCGGTCAAGGCCTCCTAGCCTTCGTCACCGTCCCGGATTCTCCCGCCAACACTCGCGCCCTTTACCTGACAGAGAATGAGAAGCGCCTTGCACGAGAGCGCATGGGCAACTCCGGCGTCAACACCTCCAAGAGGATCCCCGCATCCGTTCTCAAGTCGAAGCTGCGCAAGCTCATCGTCCACCCGATCACTTATTTCTACCTATTCTCGTTCGCCTTTGGAGCTTGGGCCCATCGTGCCAATTCGTATTTCGTCTTGTACCTCGAGAGCATCAAGGACGCCGCCGGCAATCGGGTATACGACACATACCAGGTCAACATCTTGCCTCTTGGGGGTTACGCTCTGCAGATCGTCACAAACGTCGGGCTCAATTGGCTTTCCGACTGGAAACGTTGGCGCTGGCAAATCAGCGTCTTCTCAGCTGCCGCCCACGGCATCTGCTTGGCTGTGCTCTGCGGATGGCCCTCCGATCATAAAGTTATTCTTGCTTTCTACTTCCTGACCTACGGTACCAATGCCGGCAGCCCCTCACTCATGGCATGGATGGCAGAAATTCTCCGCAAGGAGCCGGAGGCTCGGTCCATCATTGTGGCGATGACGGTCACTATTGTTTACATCGGCCACGCCACGATCCCCTTGAGAGCTTTCCGCGTTGCCGACGCACCCAGATATCCCGTCGGATTCCCACTTACCACCGCTTTCACGGTCGCCACGATCCTGGTTCAACTCGGCATGCTGTGGTGGGACAGGCGGCATCCGGAGATGGCACAGTATGGATATGAGCCAGCCCTCAGCGCCGATGCTTCTTCAGACGGGGAGAATCCCAAGCTGGCAGATGCAGAGGCCGTTCAAGCTGGAACTGATTCGAAAGCGGCTAATACAAATGTTGCCAAGGAACTTTAGATTGGGCTTTCGGTGGCT